TCTGATGTAAAAGATTGGCAGCCGCGTCTCTAAATACACAGTTATTATTAGTCAGCTCGTTATTATTCTTCATATGTCACTTTTTTGGCATTTCTGAACTACGTTTTCTGCTAACGATCTCAGAATACATAAAACCAAGGCTGACGCGCTGAAAAACGCCAAGCTCTTAAATTAAATTTCATGCCCAAGCTTCAGCTGTTCCGGATGAGTCCACGTTCAAAGCCCACAGCATTTGGTCCGTTTACCTTTGCATAAGCTGATTTCCAGCATGACGGACACGCGAGGACCTTCGTGCAGGGCTGAAACAGAGGGGAAGTTAATTTTCAAGGAATTGGGACAAAACTCAAACTTTCCATAAGTTGCATCTGCATAAATCCTACGCGGGGGTGGCTGGGGAGGGAGACGGATTTTACAAGACTGTGAAATCAAATTCTGACTTTTCTGGGTTTGCAGGAGAGTGCTCTGAAACATCAGCCCAGACGTGGCCCTCCTGGGGAGCCTGCACACAGCAAAGCAGTCTCTGAATTACCTTAGTGCGAGTTTGGAATACTCGATATCTTCCTTAATATTGGGATCAGACTCATCCAGAGAAGGAATACTTGAGATTTCTCAGGATTAATATCACTTTGCCGCTAGTTTTTGCCACTCAGCTGCAGAATTTTACTGATCAGTGTGAGCTGAAGCCAATAAGGATAGGGAGATTTTTTTTTGCTCCGTGTATTTGCCCAAATAATCACAAAAAGTGACCACTGCAGCAATGCAGATTTCTATATAAGACCCTCACAGATCTTAAATTTAAGCTGGATCTTATCATATAAGCGAGCGTATTCCTTTGGACCTGCTTCCTACCTTTGGGGTCTTTGCGGGACCTCCTGCATCCGCAGCTCCCGAGCATCCATATCCCACCGGGAACCTACGATTCCCCAAAGGATTCACTGCCGGTAGGAGACTTGGCACCCTCAGGTGTGACCCATCCCAGAAGATATTCCCAACCGCATCGCATTGGGTTTATTTAAGCGGATTAACCCAGCTGTTTCGCTGCAGATAACAGGCACTCTGCTCTGCAGCCTCTACCCCTTCCCGGTTCCTTTCCCACAGCTTCCCGCTCTCCCCCAGGATCCCCGTAACAGGATCCGCTCCATCGCGGGGGAAAAGGTTCGGCAAAATAGTTGAGCCGAAGAAATGTCCCCCCTTGCTCATTTTAAGTTATGTCCCAGAGCAAATCCAAAGCTTGCCCATTTCAACAGGCAAAATCAGAAGGATTCTTGTATTTTTGTGAGGTCACTTAAATAAAACCTGAGCTGTCGCGATTAATAAATCTCCTTTCTCACCGTGGTGCCCTAAAAGGGCTGAGAAGTCTGACCAGAGACCTGAAATATCGAAGCTCTCGCTTTACTGAGCAAGAAATAATTTCCCAAGGCCCCCCCAGTGTTTGCAGAAATTGCTTGGACTCATCCAGGGAGCAAAAAGTCAAATAGATCTGGAAAATGGTCTCATATCAAAGAAAAAAAGAAATGAAACAAACCCCAACGTATAAACGAAACAAAACACTTTGAGGCAATCGGGTCCCAACTTCATCCTAAAATAAAACAGCAGGAGAAAGGCTGCAAGAGTTCAAGTTTTGACCAAGTTGCATATTAGATCTTTTAATATACACAATTATATATTAAATCACTAAATTACATATATTAAAATTTTAGACACACGCACATATATAAATACCAAGAACCTCCATCATGCAAATATTGGACAAGGTCCTACTCGCACAAAATGAAACAAAGCAAATATTTTAAAAAGCCTGAAATGGTGATTTCAAGGAAACAAGATAATTTCTGCAGTCTTCCTTAAAAACACAAACTACACACAAACCCACAAACTATCTCGCAGACCAACCGGAGTAATAAAGCTTCAAAAAGATGTAAATGAGCTGGGAAATTAAGGCTGTATCCACTTACAGAAGCCGCTGCACTTTAATTATTTAATATATGTAGAGCAGGACAAGTCTCATTAGCACTTATGCACTTGCACAAGTGGAAAAAAAATGCTTTTATCCAAGCAGCTAAATCTCAGAGAGAACCACCACCAAAATATACCGATACAGGGCATCTTTATAGTCATAAAACTACATTCACGCAAGGTGCCTTTTTGATGCAATTTTTTCGGCGAAGGAAAGAGCAGCTCCCTCCAAACTGAGATATGCAGCAGTAAAAGGCTGTGCCGCAGAGCAGATCTAAATTGCAGCGACGCTTGCAGGGATTTCAGCTATAAATCACGAGGAAACTTTCAGAATTTGTGTTTTCTGCTGTGCTCCGGAACAGGTGCTGGCAGAAACGCGCGCACACAGACCACAAATAATTCTCCCTACCAACTTGGCTAAAATAAACTGAAGAGTTTTTAGTTCCCTCCTAAAACGGGCAGAGAGGCTCCTGTTAATGTAGGCATCTTAAATTGGATACTTTGGGAAGGATATTCAAGACCCATATTGTTCATTAGCAATACTTAATGCTGGGGGTATCACGATCATGGTGTTTTTTCCTTTCCAAGCATGACTGTCCAGGCTTTTATTTTTCAAGGAATCTTAATTACTTGGATAAACACGAAATATCTTTAGTATGACCTCAAATATACTGCCAATATCCAAATCCTTTGATTCTTTATCCTGCCTGGACCTACAAATGGAGCTGGTTTTTGAACATACCGCTCAAAACAAAGTTAAAACAACAAAAAATCCTAGAAATCTAATTAGAATAATTATAGAGCCATCTACATGTATTTTTTTGATCTAAAATTTATAAAGTGGAACCATTTTCTAACTGGTTTTGTACTTTTGGCCTCCACTCAGCTTGAAATCAAGCCTAAGGTTTCTCAAACCTTCAAACGCCTCTATAGCAAAGCGAGAACCACATACATTAGTAATCATTACTTATACGACTTAATTAGATCCCACATAATATGAAAAGCCCATTAAATAATTAAATATAATGAAACTAAATAAATAAACAATATGTTCTCACTAAGTCATCACAATCCGAAGAGCCCTAATCAAAGCGGTATTAGCAACCCTCCAAAAATATTTGTGTTTAAATAGATTGCTATCTACTTTTTGATCCTAATAACTCTGAATCTGGGCAAGGGTTTTGTAACCCGCTCTGTCCAAGTACATTTTGGCTCAATAAATGGGGATTTTGGGCTTTGCCACGTGCTGCAAAACCCTTTCCAAGGGTCTTTTGGCCCCCCTAGCCCGCTCTACGGGGCAGCTTCGCCAGCCCAGCCGCACATGTTGAAATATTTAGCGCCCGCTCGCAGCCAAAAGGAGGGAATATTTTCCTTTTTGGTTACCAGCATTTTCCAGATCTCTTCGGTTAACAAAAAGGATGTTGCTAAACGCGCCGGCTGCACAACTCGAACATCTCCCAGCTTTCAGCTTCAAATAAATTATCCGAGTGTCCTGACTTCAAACAAGATGTAAGGACTAGTAACTCTTTAGCCCACAAAAACACCCCCAAAAGCGCCCACCAAAGGGGCCAAGTGTTCCCAGAGCCCGTCCCAATCCACCACAAAGGGATTGCGGATGCCCAGGCAGCAGATTACGCATCGGAGCTCTATATTTCTGCAATCTTTTTGGTCCTCTAGTGCTTTCTTGTAGATTTGCATTGGGTATTTTTAGAATTCTTCAATTTTAGTTCTCTGCCTTATTTCGTTTCTTAGACAACGAGAGAATTTCTAGTAAGAAAATAATAAAAGAAAGCAAATAAATAAACCCCAAACCCGACGCACACAGGGCTTTGTTGCAACCACAGACGTTGCAGATGGACAGTTTGCAAATGGGGACTTTTTGTCGCCTTTTCTTCTCCGTCTTTTAGCCCCTCTCTGCCTTTCCCTCTTGACCAACGCGACCCCATGCAGCACATCCAGCAGCAGGAACCCATCCTAACACAGGGACACGGCCTTGGAAACACCATCCCGAAGGAAAATCCCTTAAAAGCTCCCAGAAGCAAACAGAAACAATGCCTTAATATAGCGTGGCTGGGGAGAGCCCGGCCCGCATCACTCGGTACCACCTGCCGCATTATCATGGGCTTATTAATGAGCATTTAATTAATATATTCCTTTGGTAAGGCTTTCCATGCACAACACAGAGCCATAAGGTTAAAAAGAAACCAATTTCCACTCTGGACCACGCTCCACACACGATTCCTTCCCCTGGCTCATAGCTGTGTCCTAATCGGAGTCTCCCATCAGCAATGGGCCTGCAATTTTCAAACACAATTCAAAGCAAAACGCCAAACGGACGGCGCTCTGCAAGAGGGAAAACGGCATTTTGTGACCCTGAAATATGCATTATTTTGCCCAGAATTACTCCTTTGAAAGTTTTCCTTCCAACAGTTCAGATTTGGTGGAAGTTGGAGAATCGACTGAGGAAACCGAAAGTTAGAAACGCAAAGGGGTTTTGAAGCGTTATAGGAAGGGCATAAATGTGGAGAGCTACGTACTGCACCTGAAAATTAGATTTCCTACAAAAAAATAAAAACCAAAACCCAAATTCCATCATGTAGAATACAATATAAGAATTAGATATTCCCTTTTACCGTGTATTGCTAAAAGCTCCTAGGAGACTGATCTGCTTGAGATATTTAATGAGCAGCCCCAGCCCAGACCCCCTCGATGATCCCGGCGGATTCAACCCAGCGGGATGTGTACGGGGCAGGATACTCCCTTGCTGCCCGTAAAACCTATGGGAGCATCTCCACCTTCCCCGTTAGCCTAACCCGCTCCAAAAGACACACGGATCCGCGCAGGTTTCCGTGGATTACGAGGCCGTTAGATTTTTCCCTGCTCCCACTGGCAGCGATGGGGAGGCCACGCGCATTGGCCAGGCCTGCGCGGGCTCCTCCGCTCTCGCACAAGGCGCATCCCAAGGAAGAGGCGAGCGAAAGCGCGGCCGGCTCTTCCAAGCGGGAAGCACTGGAGATGCCGGGGGTCCCGGGGGGGTCTCTTACCGGCGCAGGAGAGCAGCGGTTTGGGCCGCACGAGCAGCGCGGGGCAGCCGGAGCACAGGGAAAGTTTCTCGAAGTAGTCGCACGTCTCCTTGGCGAGGATCTCGTC